CTCCTTGGCAGATCCTTGTCTGTCTCCTTAGCAGATCCTTGTCTGGCTCCTTGGCAGATCCTTGTCTGTCTCCTTGGCAGATCCTTGTCTGGCTGGCTCTTTCTCATGGCATCTGACTCCAGACGAAGCCCTGCTTGACCACCCCGGCTCACTCATCCGCCCCCCCCCCTCTGACCCCCATCACTGTGACACTGTCTGCCTGGTGTGCACCGTTCTCTGGATCCTGTACATCACTGTGGATACACTTACTCTGTCTCTCCTCCCACTCCGAACTCTGCTGGTGTTCTTCCGGAACATGCTAGGTGCTCCGTGAAAACTCACCTGCACGAACCAAGGGATACATGACTGAATGCCTTTTAATCCCTTGGAGCTCAGGAGCCTCCTCTGTTAATTGGACACAGGGTCACACCCCTCGACCGAGAGGAGTTTTAGACGAAAATCCCCTATGTGTGCTGAACCCGGCACATCCCAGGCTCCCGGGGAAGGTGTGGCTGTGTCACCAGGGACCCTGGGGACAGCTTTCTGCTCTCTGCTCACCTGCTCGAGGGAGTTAAGTGATATGATGCAGGCTAAGCTCTCCGAAGGGTTCTCACGGGGTTAGTTCCTCTGTGGTCCTTCCCTCGGCGTGGGCAGCTCCACAGCCGAGCTGCTGGCGGAGTGGACCTTTGGGCCTGAATGTCTTTTGTGGATCCACTTTCAGGGTGAGGACCCTCCCAAACTCTCGCCCTAAGTCAAGGCTGAGTCCTGGGGGTCACCATCTGTGACCTGCTACAGGAGACATCAGCGGGAGGGAGAGTCCCAGAGCCCCGTTGAAATCCCTGGTCCTTTCACTTGCCAAGTGCACAGCCCGGGACAAGTGAGAGAGGGCCTGCCCGCCTTGGTTTGCCTGTCCGCAAATGGGCTGACCTGGCACCCACTTCCTAAGGCTGTGGGGGGCATCACGTCAACCTGAAGCCTCAAGAGCTCTTGGGGCAGTGCCTGGCCCGTGGTCGACGCTCCATCCATGGAGGTATTTGTACGAAGACAGCTTTTATAAAACAGCTCCAGGTCTACATGGCTGCTTCTCAGTGTCCTGCAGAGAAGGCCCATTGGCCGAGTGTGTGTGTCTCTCGTGGATTTCCGTTGTTTGTCCTCTTCCCTTCTCCTGAGACCTCTTGGGTGTGGGGTGTGCTTTCAGAGGCAAGAAAGATGAGGAGCACACTGCCTCTCCCCAAAGGAGCACACGGCTTAGTCAGGGGAGGTGGGAATTCA